ACACACACAATATATATATATATATATATATATATATATATATATAGATTTATTAATGTATTTATTTAAATACATTAATAAATATGAACACTTACATAAATGTATATCTATATTTGAATAGTTCTATATTTAATGAGAGAATAATTTATTAAAATATATACACATACATTTATGTGTGTGTGTGTGTATATATTTTAATAAATTATTCTCTCGTTAGATGCAGAACTGTTCAATTATACATTCTATCTTCGTAACGCTTTTTTCGACTAGTAACTCGTAACTAAAATTCATGGTTTTTCCGATAAGAACCTCCTCAAACATTGACGGTTACATTAGAAAATATTGGCTTAATATCGCTATCAAGTAGAATGCAGAATATTCATAAAACGAACGTATGACGCGAATTAGCTGCATTAAATGGTCTACAATTTACGTATGCGCGATCGATCCGTTATGGCTACGCGTGTCGTGAATTAATGGACGAATCCCAAACCCTCCTCTTTCGAAGCGTGTGTCGGAACCTTCAACCTTAACCTTATTAATAGATTTTTATCTTTTTTTATAAAACCAAATTTATGCATGATATATATATGTTTAAATACGATTAAATAAGGAAACGTTACTTGACTTCAGAATTTTCAGAATTTTTTTCTATAATTCAATTATCAACAAGTAGTACTAAAAGTCTGCAAGAGACTCGTAGATTTCGTCTAATTTTTTGCGAGAAAAAGTCGCTTCCAAGTTTGCTAGAAAAAAATCTGTCGTTAAAATTAAAATCAGGTACCCGACCTGGACGCTTTGTATATAAACGTCGATCAACAAGAAAAAATTATTTTCAACGTCACCTCCTCTTTTTGCACGTTCGGCGGAAAAACTGTTCATTAAATTAATTCACTTTAGAAAATTGGATTGGACTCGGTTGGAGATTTTTCTCGAATTAACCTCGGCGATGCCATCGTCCCAAAACAGGGTGAGGTGTACGTATATGTGTTTGTCAAGCAAACAATCTTTCGTTCGAGCTATCGTTGCTAATTATCTGATGCGAGATCGGCGAGATTAATGGGGAACTCCATTCTTCACTAATTTTGTGCGCGAAGAAGTCAGGTGATAAAAAAGTCAACTTTAATCACTTAGGGATCAGCATGTGGCTTTCTTCTCGTATTACAATACAAAGAGCTTAGAAATTATTAAGAGTAACCAAGAGTATTCAAAATAACAAAATTAATTTTTACTTTTTATATATATCTATATATTTAATTTTATACATCTAATTAAATATTAGATACACACACACACACACACATACACACACACACACACACACACACACA